TGATTCTAAATTAGAATCCTGAGCGTCAGCGAGGGAAACAAACGAGCACAAGGTGAAAAATCTTTCCACTCGAGTGCAATACGTAACTTTTCATCCCACCTCAGCGAGGAAATGACAAAATGAAAAAGAAAACAATTTATAATGACAAAATATTTTTATTTCAATTAAAACACATTAAGATAATCTATAAATTGAAGAAAATAATAAGAAGTAGAAAATAATTAAGAAATATTAAATGTAACGTTGCTACAGTTACTTATGTTAAGTTTAATATTTTTGTTAGGTAATGTTATGTTGGTGTTTGTGAATTGTGCGCTGTTTTGTGGTAAACTACTCGTATCAGTAATTTTAAATAGTTGTGCCGATTCATTGGATTCTATTGGCGTAAATGTTGGCGAGAGAGGGCTATTGTTTCCAATCTTATGGGGGCTCATTTTAGATGTAGAAGGGCGAGACCAAGAATCTGACAGAGGTTCTTTCAGCGTTATGGCCTCCACGATACTATTACAAATTTTTGATTTACTTTGGATTGAATCCTCTATGTATCCCTCTACAACCGAATTAGACTTCCAGCCTCCATGGCGCTTAAGCGATAGAAGATCTTTTTTTTTTTAGGCAAAAGTGTGCTGAGGTTCTTCTAAAACAGTGACCGGTGTATAACGGGGGTTCTAAAAGTCCGAGAAAAGTTGCTATTTCTCGTGGAATACTGCCAATTTTATTCTGACCCATAGGTTGTCGGATACACTTTCCGTTGCGATATTGTAGAAAAAATCGTTCAATTGGGGTGTTAGAAGGACGTAAAGCTTGATATTTCTGAACAATGTTTACATATTCCTTGCGAATAACGAAGTTGCGGTCTTTTTTTGTCTTGGTATTTAGTACATTAATTAATAGCAATTCATCAGAATTATGAGAATATTTTGATACGTTATTGACATTAAGTAGTGTAAGTTCATTTGTTCGACATGCTCCGGTTATACCAATAATAAGAACAACCTGTAACAAAAGAAGTATTTATAATCGTAAATAAATTAATCAAATTAAAAATATTGTAAGTACTATGTACAATTTTATCAACAACAAAAAATTACACGTATTGACTTACTTTTGCCGCTAAATATACGGAATCAGGTGCTTCATTAATAAACTTTGCAATTTCAGATGCTGTGAAAACCTTCGATTTTTTTGGTTTATAACCAGATGAGGCTCTTTTTAAAAATGCCACTAATTTATGATAGGTGTCGATATGAACGTCTTTCTTCATCTTAATTGTTAATTTTAGCATTGAATACGTACTCCATAGCGTGCTTGCTTTCTTGGTCTCAGATAATTCTATAAAATATGCCAGCAAAACGTTTTCGGAGAAAGTTTTTGCTCCTTTAGCTAGTCGCCACATGTTAAATATATCGTACTGTTTCAAATACTTCTCTCGTGATTGCTGAGGGAGAAGGCTCATTTGCGCATTATTAACTGTTTCAGTTAACTCAGTTGGCGTTAGATAAACTTCATCGTCGCTAATGTCACTCATTTTAGTTGATTTTTTTGTACAGTTTTTAGGTTATGTTAATTATATTAAGCAATAAAACGTGAAAAACTAGAATGGCGCGAAGCACGCAAATAAAACAAAGAAACCAAGAAGGTTCCAAATTTAAATTTTTTCACAATTTAAAAAGTTCTAATCATAAATTTGGCACCATAGAGGTTACATTAAATAGGTTTAATGACGTTTTGAATTTACAATTATATTGAGTACTCATTATATGTGATGTTCTAAATTCAAATCTACTTTGCCGCTCAAGCGAATAAAATAGAATTTTCCAGCCAGATTTCGAAGCGCAAAATTACACTTTCCGAGGTGGTGGGATGAAAAATAAACTAAACATAATATCGTTCAATATTCGGAGCGTGAACAAAATTTAGACAATTTCTCAGTATATATTACTAGGTTGAAAACAAACGTGGATATCATAATTCTTTCGGAATGTTGGTGTGACGAGATTTCCATTCCACTAGTGTTGCTGATCGATAGTCTATCGATAGCCAACCAATCATATGACAATCGATCGGCTTATTGATAGTGTTGATACTATCAATAGTATCGAAAGCACAGAAAAAGCCAATACTATCGGATGAGTTAAAACTATCAATACTATTGATAGCATTGTAGTTCGTTAATAACAAACTATCGATAGTATCGATTCTGTCGATTTTATTTGCAACCATACTATCGATAGTCTAACAATTTGCAATAGCATTGTTTACAATTTTCAGGTGTTATAGTCAATCACAAACTTTAGTCTAAAACAATCGCTAGTATCGATACTATCAATAGTTTGTTATTAACGAACTACAATAATATCGATAGTATCTATAGTATTGCACTCATTCGATAGTATTGCATTGTTCTGAGCTATCGATAGTTTCGATAATATCTGTTGTATCGATTCTATCGATAGACCTATCGATGGGGTACATGATTTTCGATGTAAACTATCGATAGTTTTAATATCGATAGTTCGGCAACACTACGTCCCACCGATGACAGATGGATTTGATATGTACTTTTCCAAACGAAGTTTTAATCAAAACGACGGTGTTATAATATATATCAACAGCTGCATCGAATCCAAAGTGCAGGAAATGGAACTGGCCGAAGCTAACTGCTTAGCAGCTAAGATTGTAAATATGACTGTATTCTTATTATATCGTCCATAAGGATTCGAAAATCATAACATATTTTTAGAGTCCTTAGACACACAACCCCAAACAAAACGCGAAACATAGTTCTTACAGGGGACTTAAATATTGACACTTTGGATACTAATAACGTAAGGGTCAATTCACACGTACCACAACCACACCACAGCCACAACCACACCACAACGACGCCATGTGGTCGGGCGTATATTTTGTATTGAAAATTAATATTACAATTTACACGTACCACATTTTGCAGTTGTTATCGATACACAGGTGTGTAATACGACCACATCGCAACCACATCGCGTCGGCAACGCCACCACCGGCGGCGGCACCGCGGCCACATCGCCACGACATGACGTCATCTTTCCTCCATGACTACGTTCAGTCAAGCCGTGTTTCCTCTACGAAAGCCGGAGTATAACTGCACATGACCACGTGGTCCACCACATCGCAACGACAGCGGCAACGCAACCACATCGACATTTTGTCGGTACCAGAACGCAACTGCAAAAAGCCGCTGCGACACTATTCACACGTAACCACAGCTTGACCACATTTTGTCGCTGCGACGTAGTGTGGTTGTGGTACGTGTGAATTGACCCTAAATGTAACAGATTACTTGGAGATCTAAGGATCTCATGGCTTGCTTAATGTTATCGACACCCCGACACATGGGCGCACATGCTTATACCACTTTATGTGCTAACTGAGTAACTGCTAAACAACAATGTTTCCTACTCATAACTAACATAATTGACCACTATACCATATTCTTAGTAAACATTATTATTGCATCGCGGATGATGGTAAACTTAATATCTCTTATCTATTAGACAAGTCCGGCCGTCCGTCCGTCTGTCTGTGGTGCTGTTTCAGCGGCCAAACCGTAAGAGATAGATAAAGAGAATATTTAAGTTATAAGTTAAGAATAGTCTGATAAGACTACAAACCGGATTTGAGTAACGTAGCACTTCCGGTTTTCGAGAAATCACGAATTTCAAACGAAACCACACAAAATCTCCGAAGTTCTCAATTAATTAAATACATTTTTTTTTTAAATCAGGTTTTGGTGAACATTTGGTTCACTGGTTTGCTAGTTTTATTAGTAACTAATCATCTGCTTAACTACAATGCAGTAAATCTAGTACCAAAAGAAATAATTAAGTCACCTTGGGCTTAATATTCAAGACTAAATCGTTTTACTTTGCTAATTTAGTTGAAGATTGTTTAATCGCCACTTCTAAATTTAAAAATAATACCTAGCTATACTTGATAACATTAATGTGATGGAAGTTGACATCAACACATGTATTGAATTTTTGATGTCATCTTTCAATTGACGACACTGTATGAAACGAAACAGGGAGAAAAAAATAGCCCTTGCTGAGTTTCTTGCCGGTTCTTCTCAGTACAAGGTCTCCCGCCGTAGATTTACGAACCGATGGCGTAGCGTTTGACTTTCACAAGAGCTTGTAACAGCCTAGACTGAATAAATGTGTTTGAGTTTGAGTTTAGTCTTTTATTTTTCTATGAAATCTGAAATCAATATATCTTTTTTCAAATTGGATGTATAGTACAGCTCTTTTAAATCGTCCTGAAACATATTGTATACTGTTAGGTGCTTGTTAATCTTGGATAGATAGTGATAAGTATGTCAGAATATAGCTCAAGCGATGCTCACACCATCCCTAAAAAACTTGACAACACTCAAAAGTACTGTTATTTCATTGGCTTCTGTAACTCCAACTTACAAATAATCTGACGACCTCCGTGGCCGAGTGGTTTGTACGCCGGGTTTCATGGTGTCGCCGACTCGAGAGGTCCCGGGTTCGAATCCCGGTGGGGGCAGATGTTTGTGTGATGAATACGTGCATTTGTACTCCAGTCATGGATGTTTAATATGTATTTCTATATAAATATACTTATATATGTACACTATATGTATTCTATCCGTTACCCTAGTATCCCATAACACAAGCCTTATAGTGCTTACTTTGGGGCTAGGCTAATTGCTGTGCGTGTTGGAAATATTTATTTTATTTATTATTATTATATTTACTTTTCGTTCCCCATTTGGAGGCTCCAATTCGAGTATTGATATTTATACACGATTGAACGAACTCCTTCTGCGTAGTTCAATGTAGTTTTAAATATTTTATTCTTTTCCGCAGGTTTAAATATTGAATGTTGGCGCGGCGGCGTATACTCGAATTCCCACTGTTGCGGGAAAAATATTTTTTCTGAATAGCGTTTAATGTTGATACATAATTAACGATGTTGTCTTTTCTTGTCTGCAGATAATACCAATGCGAGATGATTGCGTTGCGGGATAGAGAAGCGATCTGCCACCATGTAAGATTGTAACATGAATCTGAGCAGCGTGATCTTGTATATCATAGGCCTCCTCTGGCTACATCTCACTGACGCTAAGATTGGTAAGTTATAAATAACTATGTTTTTATTTATTTTTAAAAGAAAATTTTACTAGAAAACAATCCACGCGGACAAGGCAGCGGACGGGACTCGAACCCGCACCCTTCGCAATCCGGGCAAATGCACTGACCATTATGCTACCACGGCCCTATTAACCGCGTCGAAAATTTCCTAGCCTTAAGCTGCAAGGCAGCGTTACCTCTTCGCATTGTAGGTAACCCACAATGTCAAATGAATACTTTTTCAAGTATTAAACATTTGAAAGAAGAAATAGCAATTATAGTTATGTTTTTATTTATTTTTAAGCATTTAACTGCTATGTTTAAATCTAAAGAAAAGTTTACTAGAAAAAGCTTGCAGCTTAAGGCTAGGAAAATTTCGACGCGGCGAATAGGGCCGTGGTAGCATAATGGTCAGTGCATTCGCCCGGATTGCGAAGGGTGCGGGTTCGAGTCCCGTCCGCTGCCTGGTCCGCGTGGATTTTTTTCTAGTAAACTTTTCATTAGAAATAATAATAACGTTTATTTCCAAAATTTACAAAGCTACTTAAGTTGCAAAAGTTACCTTACTTCCACGATCACAGGCCAACCGCGCTATGCACCTGCACCATCATCATCAGCCTAGAAATTTCCCCACTGCTGGGGCACAGGCCTTCCCTATGGATGGTATAGGGAGTTAGTGCCATGACTCACCACACGGGCCCAGTGCGGATTGGCGGGTGCTAACGACTGCAGATGCAGCCGGGACTAACGGTTTAACGTGTCCAAAGCACGGAGAAACTCGAGATAGAAGATTTTTGGTCACCCATCCAATGACCGACCATTGCGAAAGTAGCTTAATTTCAACGACCGCAGCCGAACGAGCTTGTTAGAAATTGTTATTATTATTGCAGGTTACTTCTGGCACATCACAGATCTTCACTATGACCCGTTCCACAATTCACCAGAATTTCACAGAGGTAAGTGATTCGATTAAATTGAAAATACAATTCGAGGCTTTCATTTTGTTGGCCAATAATAAAAGGACATCGACGAAATCGGCCCTAGCATGCCCAAAAGAATTTCCTTCACTATTATTATTTTATTTTTAAATGGGTGATTTTGTTAAAAGCTTTTGCCAAGATTGTTTACCTTAATAAATGCAATATAGGCGACCATAGGTATTTTCCGAACACAACTAGCATTTTCTCATTGCTGTGCGTTCTAGGGCATTCAATGTATGATGAACGAGCAATGTCCTTTGGGACCGAAACATTTTCCAACTAATGTTTTCTCATACAAACGTAATGAAGTTTCTTAGTAACCTTAAATATTGTTCATCATAATGATCAGCCTATTAATAACCCCAATGCTGAGGCATAGGCTTTCCGTATGGATGGAATAGGGAGACACCACGCGGGCCTACTGCGGATTGGCGGGGCTAACGACTGCAGATGCAGCCGGGACTACCGGCTTAACGTGCCTTCCGAAGCACGGAGGAACTCGAGATAGAAGGTTTTTGGTCACCCTTCCATTGACCGACCACTGCAAAAGTTACTTAACTTCAACGATCGCAGCCGAACGCGGTAACCACCCGCGCCATCGAGCTCTTCAAATATTGTTGGAGTACTATAATTATGAGACTTAAGGTGTCCCGTGGTTTCACCTGCATTAATTTGAAGGTTATAGTGACCCTTAAAGGATAGACATATGCTATCGCGGCCTTTTTTACCCGACTGCGCAATGCAAGAGCGCGAAGCGCGACGCGTGACAGGGTATAGTGTTGAATAGTCTATATAAGTATGTTTCTTCTTTTGTGGCACACTAGAGACCAAACGCGTGAACCGATTTTGATGATTTATACATCAATCGATTCGTTTTAATCATGGGAAAGCTACTACAGATATCATAGTAATCAAAATTCAATATGGGGACAATTAGGCGCCATATTGTGATGAAGTAAAAAAAATAAGTTGACGAAATATGTCGAGTGGGGTATTATTGTCTAAATAATCGAAAATCGTGATTAGGTTCCTTACACCATGTTTCATTTTATTTTAAAGAACTTTTAAGTAGGAACAATTCCGTCATACATTTCTTCATACATGTTGTCGTTGGACGATCTCCGTGGCCGAGTGGTTTGAACGCCGGGTTTCATGGTGTCGCCGACTCGAGAGATCCCGGGTTCGAATCCCGGTGGGGGCAGATGTTTGTGTGATGAATACGAGCATTTATACTCCAGTCATGGATGTTTAAAATAAATTTCTATATAAATATACTTATATATGTACAGTATATGTATTCTATCCGTTACCCTAGTATCCCATAACACAAGCCTTATAGAGTGCTTAGTTTGGGGCTAGGCTAATTGGTATGAGTGTTTGAAATATTTATTTATTTATCATACATGATTTTCGTGTAACTTTAACCGTTTATGCAGTGCACACAATGGAAGCTCTCAAATGTACAAATTATTCCCGTTTTTGCGATATTTTTCATTGCTGCGCCGCTCCTATCGGCGTTATGTTTTATAAAAAAATTCCACGTGGACCAGGCAGCAGACGGGACTTGAAACTGCACCCGTCGCTATACAGGCGAATGCACCTGACCGTTATACTACCGCGACCCTGATAGCCGTGTCGATTTTTCTCTAGCTTTTCTTAGGCAGCAAGGCAGCGTCATCTCTTCGCATTGTAGTTAACCCACAATAATAATCTATTTATTTCTCTCAAGAATGGTTACGTCTTATATTATAAAATACAAAGTATAATTAGCAAATAATTTTAACCTTTCCTGAGACTGGTGTCTGCACTAGGTTGTGAAACCTGTCTTACAGATCACCAGGCTCCCACTGCGCCGGTCATCACTTTAATACAACACTTAGTATTCAATAAACTCATTTTCTCGAGAGAATAAACGATCTCTTATCTATTAGACAAGTCCGTCCATCCGTCCGTCTGTGGTGCTGTTTCAGCGGCCAAACCGTAAGAGATAGATAAAGAGAATGTTTAAGTTACAAGTTAAGAATAGTCTGATAAGACTACAAACCGGATTTGAGTAACGTAGCACTTCCGGTTTTCGAGAAATCACGAATTTCAAACGAACTTACACAAAATCTCCAAAGTTCTCAATTAATTAAATACATTTTTTTCTTTTTAAATCAGGTTTTGGTGAACATTTGGTTCGCTGGTTTGCTAGTATGATATATAATATACTTAAATTATTTTTTCAATGGCCACCCACATAGCGTTAGGTGTAGATTTGAATTCTCTCTGACTCCTGATCCGAGTGGTATATTAAGACTTTCTTTACATTTATAAATCTAGCTTTCCAGCTAATCCAATAACAATCATCATGAGCCTATTAATGTCCCCACTGCTGGGGCACAGGCCTTCCCAATGGATGGAATGGGGAATTGGGCCATGACCCACCACGCGGGCCCAGTGCGGATTGGCGGGTGCTAACGACTGCAGATGCAGCCGGGACCAACGGCTTAACGTGCCTTCCGAAGCACGGAGGAGCTCAAGATAGTAAAGTTTTTTTTGGTCACCCATTCAACGATCGCAGCCGAACGCGCTAACCACTTGCAAAATAAATAAAGATGCTGTCAACGTAGCGTCCACTGTACTGGGGACGTGTCCCGACTATGAATATGACCGTTTTGCTTGCCACGGAGGGATGACGGCAATATTAGTGACGTGTTTAGCACATCAAACGAGGTTTTGTAAATTCTCCTTCCAGAATGTTCCGTGGCATTTCCCTTTATGAAAATTAGGTTCAGGATTTAAAATAACATTGAGATGTAGAAATTATGATAACTTGTTCATTAGGTTATTCTTGGTTGTGTATGAGTATTAGTTATGGACAGTTATAATGCGATTCAAATAAGAATAGGAAAGCCAATGACCTCCATCTGTCAAATGACGCTTGAAAAGTACGGTTTGCAAAAAATCTTGGAACTCTTTTTTAGCACTCAGCTAATTCTAGAATAAAAAAAATAAACATTTGTAAAGAAACATGACGACGATGACAACTCCGGTAGTTATGCAGAGCTGAGCGCAATGAGGGCTATCGCGTATGAATCCGCCGCTAGAGGCGCTAGTGTAGCGTGAGGTCTCCGAAATGTCAAATGTTATTGCTTGTTGGTTGACTACTTATGACTACGCGGGTTTATCTCTAATTAAAATAATGTTGTGAATAATTGGTAACAATTCGGCTTAATTATGACAAATATGAGTTATGTGGCAATGAATGTCAGTTATTAAAAATTTGAGCTTAGAAAAATGATTATGTTCCCATTTTTTCCGAATAAAACGGAACTGCGCGTCACTGTGGCATGGCCTATTATGTTTAGGATATGGTTCTTTTGTGTTTAAATACGATCTAAATGTAACCTTTGATTTCATGTGCGTATTAATAAACTTTAAAAGTTACAATTTAGGACCTCACTCAACAGTGGCGCCATCTGGTGAGACAGAAAACGGTAGCCCTCATTGAAGAGCTAGATTCCGATTAATATTTTTACTCACACAGTCATAAATGTTATTAAAAAATCGGTGTTTTTTTCTCAATCTTCGTAAATAAATTTTATTAATAAAATCTGATGCTTTTTCTCACTTAATCTTAGTAAATAAGTTTTATTTAAAAAAAACCTGCTGGATTTTTCTCACTTAATCTTAGTAAAAAAGTTTTATCGAAGAAAAACTTTTATTGCTCACTCTATACCTATTTTGTTTCAATTGACAGCTTTGACATCACAAAATGGCGCCCAGTCGATCCTATTCTTAGTTGAATCGCATTATACATTTTCATCATCAATAAATTAATGTCCCAATTGCCGGGGCACAGGCCTTCTCTACGAGTTTAATAGGGAGATTGGCACATGATCCACTACGCGGCCCCGATGCGAATTGGTGGGTGCTAGTGACAGTTGATGCAGCTGAAAAACGGCTTAACGAGCCTCCCGAAGCAAGTAGAAACTTGAGATAGTAAATTTTTGGTCACCCATCCAATGACCGACCACAGCGAAAGTTGCCAAACTTCAACGTGCTATCCACTTGCGTCACCGAGCTACCCCATCTGATATTAAGCGGCGATGGAGTCTAGTCCAGGCCGGCTTGTGCAATATATTTTACATTTGTAACACCTGCCATCCTCACCTTGCGGGCCTGCAAGTTGCATCTACACCTCGAATCTGTGGAAGGGTATTTCGGATAGTGAGAAAAAGATGTGAGCCATCAAATATCTTTGTTCTCGTTGGACTTATTATTTAGGATTTTCAGGCTATGCAGTCCGAATGGAACTGTAGTCTCTGCGACCTAAAAGATCTATTGTGTCTCGTCACCAAGTTAAAGTATCTTTTTTAGCCCGACATCTTCCAAGATGCTCAGAAGGTTTTTAGCTTTTAAAGATATGATTTCCTCTGGGCGTATTATCATCATCATTAGCTTATTAATGACACAGGCCTTCCCTATGGATGGAATAGGGAGATTGGGCCATGACCCACCACGCGGGCCCAGTGCGGTTGGTGGGTGTTAACGACTGCATATGCAGCTGGGACTAACGGCTTAACGTGCCTCCCGAAGCACGTAGGAGCTCGAGATAGTAAATTTTTGGTCACCCATCCAATGACCGACCACAGCGAAAGTTGCCAAACTTCAACGTGCTATCCACTTGCGTCACCTTGCTCCCATATCAGCACGAGCCAGGATTGAATCCTACACGGACAAGATTACAAAATGAGCTTTACTGATCAATGTTGCGATCATAAATCAGAAATCAATACATCTTTATTCAAATTGGATGTATAGTACAACTCTTTTGAATCGTCTATTTTTTTTATTTGATTTGATATTGATTTTGTATTAGTTTTCAAATATTTTTGTTAACAATTTTAGGTCCTCATAACATTATTTATTGCATCAATTATATGCTGTATGTTTCAGTTTGATATTATATATTTTTACCTATCTAATATTTA